AATATAATGTCTTACCTCTGAAATTTAATACAACCTCTTGCAAAAAGCTTTTTTAGGGTTATTAAGAGGTAGCAGGAGGATAATTTTTAAAGCATGCTGATGGTCACAAACAACAAAATTCAGGAGTTTATGATGTTGGTACAAAGGACAACAAAGAAACATTTAAAATCAAAGAATTTTGATGCTCCATATAGGGTAAAGGCAGCCACATGAGATTAAGAAGTAGTTAAGGTTACATGACCACATCAAGTGACTGTAGGATCCAGCAGACATGTTCCTACTTTAGGGAAAGCCATAAGCTCCACCAGGTAGGGGAAGCTCACTCATACTGCAGGAGTATTCACACTCAGTGTTGGCAGATATTTCAAGATAGGACTCAAATATGGGTTCTTGTGTGAAATTTCCTGATGTTTTCAACGCTGTTCAGACCAACTAATTTCAACCCCTAATTTGGAAGATTAGCAGTTCTGCATAAGCTTGGCAGAGAAAACAAACAACTGCCTCTGGCCAAAACTACCTTCTCCAACGTACTGACCATCAAAATAAATCCCCAGAATCATTCATTTTTACTCAATAGCAGTAGAATAAAAAGAACGGATACTTCTTTTGATCAAATTAAATGCATTTCAGCTCTGCCCATTACTTGCTGTGTGAACCAAGGCAAATTAATTAAATTGTCTAAACTTCAAACTTTCCTACTTGGGGATTGGAAAAAAAAAAAAAAAGATTAAGTCACAGGATTGCCTTGGGGATTGCTTGAGAAATCATGCACTAAACTGAGAGCCTGAAAGAAGACATCAATCACATGAGAATCCTTTCCCACCACTCTCATTTTACAAATACTAGCTATAAGTTAACAACAAAAAAAACACAGTAAAATAGCCAAAAGATGTTATCAATGGGAGGCAAAACAACAAAAAACCAAAACTCAACCAGAAGTTCTGCAAGAAGAGATACCATCTAACCTCAGGAATGGCTGTGAAAACCGGGCCTACCACAGACAGCACATTCTTGAGCAGTTTCATCAGCTCTGGGCTAGGGGAGCTGCAGGCAGCAGGACAGGATTCCTGCCTGTGAATGGGGCCCTGGCACCTAGCCCTTTACTACCACTGAAGCCAATCCTCCTTGCAACACCCTGTGAGTGCTGGGACATGTAGAGCATGCAGAGCCACACTACAGCAGTCAACAACTTCAGGAAGAGGTGCGGCACAGACTAGGAAAAGCAACCAGGCAGATGAGGCCAAACAACTTAAAGGAAGGGAACAAAAGCAAGAGCCAAAGCATAGCACGCGTACCTGCAGAGAAGGTACCTGAGTTCACAAACACACAAGAGTCTCAGCATAAACAAGGTAACAAGGACTCTTTCACCCTGCATCCCACCCATCAAGCACTAAATAAATGTGACTGTGCACCTAAAACATGAACAGGAACTAGGATTCAAACCCTATGCTGTGCAACTGTACAGGCTGCTTTGAAAATGTTTCCTTGTTTTAAATCTCCCATAGTGGATACACTATCGTACTCAATTTATATATGAAGAGATGGAAACGTGATAGAGCTGAGATGGAACCCAGATGATCAAAGAACCAAATCTTTGCTTTTTATGTGACACTGAACGTGGCCAGAGGTCGGGGATTTTTTTAATCTAAGCTGAGAAAATATAATTTTAAAGGCCAAGCATTAAATGACATGTTTAACAAAATCTTCCACCAGTCCTTATCTGTCTCCACTTCCCACCCGCTCTTTCTCCTTCTCATAACAGGCATTTTTATGAAAGAGCTGTCTGAGATTGCTGCCTCCACTTCCACTTCCTTACCTCACAGCATTACTCAACCAACTCTTGTCAACAGGCTTCTGCCCCCAAGCTCCACCACACACACACAGCACTGGCAAAGAACAGCAACGGCCTCTCTGTTACTGAGCCCTCCAGTAATACTTGGCTTTCCTATGTCACTTGACTTCCCCATAGGACAAAACTAGTCACCATTCCTCATTTCTTCAGGACTCCTGAGTTTACAGAACATGACGCTCTTCTGCTAACTTCCCAGCTCTTGGCCACGCCTTCAGGCATTCCCCTTTCACTAGAGCTATGTCATCTGTCCTCTGGGATTGTCACTCCACTGTGTAGTTTTATCCTGGGCAATCTCATCTATTCCCACAGCTTCTTCTATCACTTATTTTATGCAGGTCTTATATTTGAAGAACTTCATTAAAAAGTAATTTTAAAAAGTAATTTTTAAAAAGAAGAAATCCTTGTAGGTCACCAAAACAGAACAAAACATATGCCAATAAACAAATCCCATGTCAAATAATAAATCTGGTTCCAGAAAATCCAAATATTATATTTAACCAAATTAAAATACCAAATCTTCCATATAATTTCAGTAAGAATTAAGGAATCTGGGAATATAGAATACAGAAGCTCTAAAAATACAAATTACCTGCTAGATCTCATGTTTCAATTTCAAAAGAAGGAACTCACAAATAAATCATATTGATCATTAAGCAGTGTCCACTGAATTCTAGAGAACTTCCCCGAAATGCGCTCTGCATTAAGCTATTGGAAGTACAGAATAAATACTACTTTTATGAATTTTTTCCTTTGTATTAAAAACACATCCATTATAATACAGTGAAATACTAGATAGGTTTTATACCTCTTCAATTCTGTGTATTTTTATCCTTTTTAACTTTCAGGTTTAATTTATATAACTTTCATTCATTTTTAATTGAACAACTCAATGATTTTAAGTCACTTTTAAAATGTGTGCAATCACACTCATAATCCACTTTTCACCATTCCTTTAAGATTCCTCATTACCTTTTGTGGTTAACCTCCCCTCCTGCCTCCAGTCCCAGCAAACAATAATCTAATTTCTGCCTCTATAGATTTGCCTTTTCTGGCCATTTCATCTAAATGGAATACAGTCCTTTTTTTGTCTGCTTTCTTCCCCTTGGAAAAGTTTTTGAGAATCAGTCACCTGACAGCTGTACGTCATTTCTTCTTATTGCTGAGTAGTATTCCACTGTACGACAAGACCACATTTAGTTCAGCCATTCATCAAGCAGAACTAAGATTCATATTTTGCCTTTAACTGCCATAAATAACGGTACTATAAACATTGGGAAACAAGTCTTTGCATGGGCACAGGATTTCATTTCTCTTTGCAGGTAGATACCTAAGTATATAGTCACTTGCTTGATGATAAATTTATGTTTAACTTTTTCAAGAAACTGTCAAATTGGTTCCAGAATAGCAGTGTCTATTTATTTATTTATTTATTTATTTAATTTTTATGGTATTGGGGATTGAACTCAGGATCTTGCATTTGCTAGTCAGGTGCCTGTGCTGCTAAGGTAAATCTCCAGCCCAGAAGTGTCTTTTTAAATTGTTTCCAGTGAGGCTGGGAGGTCCTTACTTCTCTACATCTTTGGTGATACTTGCTATTATCTGTATTTTTTACTTATATCCATTTAGCAGATGTAAAATAGCAAGGACTCTAAAGACCCCTAACACTACCTATGCTCTAGTAACAAGATAAAATACTTCTGAATGCCTATTATTTACCATATACTATGTCAATTTAAGAAAGGCATGGCGAGGGCAGTTAAATCCTCAAGAGAGCCCATTTGGTGTGGATAAGAGAGGCTATCTAAACACATCATCACCATTTTTTTTCTATCTAGTATAGCCTCCAGTACTTTAACTGCATGCATATTTAATAAAAGAGGACACAATAACAGAAAAGAACAAAAGTGCCTTTCCATTTACTAGAAAACCTTGCTGACTCCAAAATTAGACAAGAGCCACAAGTTTGCTTTGCACGTAAAGAGATTCGGTTACTTGAGGTCTCTTTGTTGCAGTGTTGTAAAGAAGTGGCAAGACTGAGTGGACATGGAAGTACCACAGGGTTTCATTTCATAAGAAACAGTGTGACTTCCCTTCTGGTAAACTCTGTCATAGCACATTTTACTTCAGCTTTACAAAACAGTTCCCATTGTTTCTTCTGTATGTGGACCACGCCTGGAAGAAGCCTGAAAACAGGAGAATGGACCTGCATGTGGAAAGAGGGATCAAGCAAATGTGCTACAACGCATACATCTTATCTCAGCCAGTCTTTACAAAAACATGGTCAAGTATCTGAAGGTCAGAAAAGTTATTCAGCCAAAGTTATATATATACCAGACACTCAAATCCAGTTAAATACTTCTGGGTCAAACTTTGAGATTCAATGAAATGTGGTTTTTACAAAGTACAGGAGCTTAAAAATAAGTCTTCAAATGATATTAAATTCTTAATGGGAATCCAGGTGAGAAGCCAATGAAGTCATGTGAATTTGAGTCCTGATAGATATTTTATAGGGCTATCAATCTAACTCCAGAAAGGTCATCTGACTTGACTGAAGTCATACAACTAGTTGGAATAGAAGGCAAACCAGAACTACAGAGATCACGAGGACAGGCTGTTGAATGTGTCTGAGTTTAGGAAGCACTCGATGTTAATCTTCAAAAAAGGCAATAATCGCCAATTGTAGACAAGACACATCATACACGCATTTAGTTATATGTGTTCAGATAAAAAACATAAGCTAAACAAACAAAAAATGAGATAAACTGAAAATAGAAAGATCAACAAGTGAATATTTTTGAGCACGATCTTGAAGCCAGGTTCCATGATGTGGTTTATGGGTTATTTCACATAATTCTCATTATAATCCATAGTAATATTATCATCATTCCTATTTCAGCAAAAAGGACACTGAGTCATGGAGATGTTGATTAACCTCCCCAGGGTCACACAGTGGTATCTAGACAGACAGCAAGTACAGAAATAGTCCATACTGCAAGGCATCTTGGAACAAATTACAAATATAGACAACACTCCTATGGTACAGGTATTCAGAGCCGGAGTACATGTTCTCTGCTAATTAACTGATGGCACATGCAAAACTCTTCTCAACTGTTGAGATTTTTTCTCCTTTTCTCTTTTTTCTCTCTAGAAATCAAACCAGGACTTGCCCCTGCTGAACCCATGCCTCAGTCATCCCCAAGTGTTTCCTGACATGCATTTTTGCTTACAGTGCATCGTAACTAAAGAATGGGGCTCAACTTGACACTTGCAAAGTTACCAAGTAAGCTATAGGAAAAGAAACAAAGAAAACTTTATTCTATCAATGACTTATTTACAAAGCCTGACATTCTTTCGGTTTTAATGGTCACAAAAAAAAGTTTCAAAGATCAGCATTTATCCTTGTTTTTTATTAGGTACAACGTAGCAAATACAAAGCCAGGCATGGTGGCACACATCTATAATCCCAGAACTCAGGAGGCTGAGGCAGGAGAATCACAGCAAGTTCAAGGCCAATCTGAACTGCATAGTGAGCTACCTCAAAACCTAACAAAAACAAGCAAATATGAAGGATGGAAACTCGGGTTTTTGAACTATGCTCCATCTAGCCATCATCTCACCTCTAAAATGACTAGTATTAAATTAATACCACTGGAGATTTTCAAACTCCAAGTAAAATGCATATTATTCTGAAGAGTCAATAGTGTAAGACAAGGTTCACTGAGAACAAAGGAGACAAAAGACAACATCTACCTGCTCTACTGGGTAACTATTGAGCAAATGATTGTACGATGGCCGCTGGGCCATGGCAGTGACACCCTGTAATTTATATCACTTTATTATTTCATTCCCACCTGGCAGGTAGAGCAGTAATGTAAGTTGATACTTTCACATTCTGTGCCAAGGAAAGACATGTCTAAATGAGAAATCATGGACATCAGTTTCAGCGATGGCAAAAATGCCAAGCCTCTCCACTACTTCTATCACTCACAGTGTGACTATACCAAGACAAACTGTAATATGGCCATTATGTTTTAGAGTAAATAGACCCTACCAAGTATTAGGAACTGTAATAAAATCACTTGCAATCCAGTAAAGTATCTATTTTCCATTCCATTTTATAAATATATTAAGTGATTAAACATGCATAATATCCCTTCTCTTTTAAAAAGATAGTATGTGGCTGAAACATTATTATTATATAGAGACTTTCTGTAATGAAGGAAATTCTCCCTCTCGGCATTGGACAACATAGTCGCTACATACAATTAGTTAGAAATTTGAATATGGCTACTCAGGGAGAGAAACTGAACTTTTTTGTGCTTAATTATAATGTAAAATTCAACAGAATATCACATGAGCTAATGCAACATCTGGTTATGAATCGTATACGTTCTTTCTAAAGACACATGCACTCACACAGGAGCATATACACTTTTCCTTTGCAAAAACGGCCACAGTCCTCTAACTCCCACCCACAAGTGATATTATCTTCATGTATGGCAAAAAATAACAAGTGCTCAGATGAGGAAAGCCATTAAGATTTCAATGACTACTGTTCCTGAGTGGGAACACTGAATGGAGAAAGGATTCTGAGAACACTCAAATGTTCTGAAAACTTTGGGCCCATTTGGGGCCATACTGGAGAAGAAATGCTGGGAGTAACTGGCTAAAAAAGAACATGACATAGGCCTAATTCTAAAAATAAATCAATCATATAAAACTCACTACATTAAGTCTTGAGCCATTCAGCGCAACACATGGATGATTCATCAGCTCCTTAGGAACTTTTTTCTCTCTACTACCATATTAATTCACAAAACAACTCATAATAGGCTTTAGCTGCTAATTTGTTTAAGCTATATTGTAAATGAAGTAATATTCATGCCTAAGCTTATCCCATTTAAAGTAAGAAGTTCTGTACTCCCAAATGTTAATCCCAGACATAAACTAAGGTAGCAAGTACTGTGCGATAACACAATCACTGGACTGTCCTAAAGCCACAAAATAGTTCCTAACCACTGTGGGATAAAGCCACTCATACTGGCATATTTTATTTACAAGACATAATATGTATACAGGCTTCTTTTGAGATCCTGACTTAAGGTTGTATTTTAATAATAATCATAATTGCTAGGTAAATTATCACTTAATAAGAGTGCTGGTGCTTATAATTAAACATTGAAGTATTATAATAACATACTATACAGACACACAATATTTAAGGAATACTGAAATGGGGGGATGGGTTCTTCCATCCCATAAGAATATGCAAATAGAACCAAGAGTTGCAATACATCATGCCTAGTGCCCTGCAGTTGGTGAGCTAGTCTACTTGTATTTACAAGGGCTTTTGAATATCAACTGCACAAGTACCATCATTGTTCTGAGACACAACTCTCATTTTCAGGAGCATATGGAGCTTCTACTTTTCAAGCTGTGTTTCTCAGAAGAAACTTATCATACTGATTAAAACTTACCTGCTCTCTACTTCCCAGGAAGCCTGTTCTAAATAAAATGCAAGTGACTGCTAATAGTTTAACTTGATAAATTAATCCAAGCAGATACCAAAACTCATAAAGCCACACTTCTTAGGAAGCTTTTAATGGTTTTGATACTGATTTCAATCTCTGGAACAAAAATCCAAGACTACCACACCTGATAAATCAAACAGGCTTAAGTAATATCATTCAAGACAAAATTTAAAAGTGGAGACAGAAATAAATATGGCAGTTCAATCAGGAGTCTTAAACTTGTAAAGCTGAGTAATACTGTAGGCCTTGTAACAGGCTTGCCCAGGTACAAATTACTAGTCTATGTAAGGGTATTTAGGCCAGAAAGACCAGTTTTTAAAAATGCAGCAAGGAATAAAAGGAAAAGAATTAGAAAGAGGACAAGGCTACTCAGGAAGAACCTGGACTTACATGTCACCTACCAATTTAAGAACCTGTTTTTGAATTATCATCATCAAAAGTGCCTGTCTTGTTCTACTTCTTCAAAGAAGAGTATAAAAAGTATAGTAAGCTGCTTGTCATGAACAGAAGGGTAAATTATTAGTGAGAAGTAAAAATGCCCCTCCTTCAAACTTTATTTCTAAAAGGTGACCTGTAAACTAAAACTAAGTTCAGGTCCATCCTCCACCTCCACCAAAAGCATGTGACAAAAAAAAAAAATCAATGGTTAAGAGATTCATGAGAGGAAAGCTAGGAAGCTTCAACAGCTTTCCATCTACCTGTAGAAAAGGGAGGCAGGGAGAAAGGGAGGTAAGGAAAGGGAGGGAAGAAGGGGAGAAGGAGAGACAGAAAAAGAGAATACAAATGAATTAAGGTTGGATAGGAAGAGTTACAATGCACCGCAATTTGAAGAGAATTTCAACCAGACTGTTAGGTAGTCTTCCAAGAGGAACTCCTCTTCTGACAGGAACAGGCTTGTCTGGGCTTCCCTGCCATGCACAATAATGAGCTGGGAGTGGTCCTGGGGAAATGAGGCACCAGCAAAATGTGGAGGTAGACATGAGCACACTGCAGTCGAGTGGCCTATCCACTGCACTCCCTGCAGGTTCCACAAAAGATCTGAGAGGTCCCTTCACAACTGCCACATCAACCAAATGCTCCCAAAGTATTCCACTGACCATGAGACAGAGCAGTATGGCAGTTATCATTAATCACAAGAACCAAAAGTTCCAAAAATGCAAATGACTTTTAAAAATTCATAATAAACACAAGAGGCATGAGCTAGACTTATGAATAAGAAAAACACAGCAAGTCTGCAATTAATTTAACAAGTTACTTTCCTTTGTAATAAAGTTCACCATTAAGAGTGAAAAACAAAATCAGCATTTTTCACTGGACTCATACAAGATACTCAACTACACAAATTATATTTCACTGAAAAATGCACTAGATGATATATAATAGTTTCACATAATTATAATCCACAAAACAGGTTATCTGCAGTAATTTTACACCAACCTACAACTTAAATTCTACTAAAGTCAAAATGTACCTAAAAGAACTGCCAAGTCAGATCAACATTTACTTTAGACTTTGTCTTATTTTAGAAGACAGCAGATCTCCTTCTCCCCCTTCCCCTGCCCCTATCCCCCCACATATTTTATTTGTATGCTTAGCTAAAGTTCCTAAAGAAGCCTAAGGGAAGACATAGACAAAAATTCAAAATAACCACTAACTTTATTCCTCCCCGCTCCTGTTTGCACACCATAAAACTGAGGAAGAGGGAATATACCAAAGACTATAGTGAAATAACTACTATATCCTTTTTTATTTTCTTATTACAAGAAATCCGTTTTCTGCCTCAGGTTGTTGGTTCTACAAGGATACCAAATAGTGAATTAAAAATCAGAAAAAATTTTTGACATATTTATTTTCCAAAGACTGTTACAGAGAATCAGAAATGTGACTTTTTACTCGAGGGGCCTTGTGTGGGGAGAGGGGAGGCCACTTTCACTTGTTGAGAAAATCTTCAAACTCATTCGAAATAACAACAGTTCAGCTGGAAGCCTGGTGGGCTGTGGGCCATGCAAACCCAGCACTGAAGTACTGTCTCTCCACTTCTGCAGATAATGAGCTGCCCAGCCCAGCAAGTCCAACTCCAAACAACACAACAGATGGACCTGGAAAAAACATCACCCTTCACAATGAGTTTGACACTATCATCTTGCCTGTGCTTTACCTCATTCTATTTGTAGCAAGCATCTTGCTGAATGGCCTAGCAGTGTGGATCTTCTTCCATATTAGGAATAAAACCAGCTTCATATTTTATCTCAAAAACATAGTGGTGGCCGACCTTCTAATGACGCTGACATTTCCATTTCGAATAGTCCACGACGCAGGATTTGGACCATGGTTCTTCAAGTCAATCCTCTGCAGATACACTTCCGTCTTATTTTATGCAAACATGTATACTTCCATTGTGTTTCTTGGGCTGATAAGCATCGATCGCTATCTGAAGGTAGTAAAGCCATTTGGGGACTCTCGCATGTATAGCATAACCTTTACAAAGGTTTTATCGGTTTGTGTTTGGGTGATCATGGCTGTTCTGTCCCTGCCAAACATCATCCTAACGAATGGCCAACCAACTAAGGAAAATATTCATGACTGCATGAAACTTAAAAGTCCTTTGGGAGTTACATGGCATAAGGCAGTCAACTACGTGAACAGCTGCTTATTCGTGGTTGTATTGGTGATTCTGATTGGGTGTTACATAGCCATATCCAGATACATCCATAAGTCCAGCCGGCAATTCATAAGTCAGTCAAGTCGAAAACGAAAACATAACCAGAGCATTAGGGTGGTTGTGGCTGTGTTTTTTACCTGTTTTTTACCATATCACTTGTGCAGAATTCCTTTTACTTTTAGTTACTTGGACAGGCTACTAGATGAATCTGCACACAAAATCCTCTATTACTGCAAAGAAATGACACTTTTTTTGTCTGCATGCAATGTGTGTCTGGATCCAATAATTTACTTTTTCATGTGTAGGTCATTTTCAAGAAGATTATTCAAGAAATCAAATATTAGGACCAGGAGTGAAAGCATCAGATCACTGCAAAGTGTCAGAAGATCAGAAGTCCGCATATACTATGACTATACTGATGTGTAGGGATTAGAAACCATGGGACTGTCCCTTGTTTTTGGAATTAATATGTACAAAGTGTAAATAAATGCTATTTTAGAAAAATGATTAGCAAACTATTCTTCCCTATAAGCCTTACTCATCCTTTAATAAGGATATTATTAATGTAAAAATATAAATGCAAAATGAGTAACACAAGTCAAACAGCCTAAGAGTAGATAGGCTGGAGGGTGCACACCCATGATCCCTGCTACTCAGGAGGCTGAGGCAGGGGAGGACCACATGTGAGAGCCTGAGTTCAACCCCAAGTATCGCCACAAAAAAAGTTTAAGTGTAACTTTTTAAATCTTACACATTCAAGCCATCTTCTTTTTCAAAACCATCACCTGGGTGAGCACTGATGAAAAGCCTGATTTGTTTCTCACACTATAGGAGAAACATTAACCAAGGAAAAACGTATATTTAATGACACAAGAGGACAGTCCAGGTAACACACATGTACATATAAAATACACACACAACAGTGCAGTATTTCATTTGCACTCAAGCAACCTGTCTAGAAAAGTCTAAATGGAAATGAGTAACGGTGAGGGTGTAAAAATAACAGTGCAACAATGATCACCACTGTCAGGTACAGAAATTCCATTCAAGGATAGCAACAAGATTACAGGAACAAGATCCTAGGATGGTACTCCACAGTACCTACCAGGCAAGTCAGTTTTAGCAGAAGAGATGGGGGCAAAGAGGCAAAAGATCTATCTGACAATGTACATCACAACATTCATCTCTCTCCAACCACGTGCTTTAAAAGCAGGCATGTTTTTACACCAGCTCATGAGAAAAGGTCTTTGAAAAGCTAATCCTTCCTCCTTATCCTGAGAAGGTCTGGGATGAGTTACAGCTCCCCTACGAAACAAGGCAGCATCCCGTCCTGGAAAGCACCCCAAGAACACCCTGGCCTTGCCTCTCCATTCTTTGCTTCTCTCCCATACCAAACTCCCACTTAAACATTTCAACAGCCACATTATTCGTTACGATCCTTATTTATGGGTATTGCTGAATGCACATCCTTTCTGGACCCCCAAGACTAAGGGACTCCTTGTTTCACAGCATAGACTGACTCCACATAGTGCTCTCGGACTTGTAAGACACCTCGACGCCAGACGCCAGCTAATCCTCTGACTCAGGCCTCAGTTCTAAGAGGTATTTACAATATTTTAAAATACATTTCAGTGTTTCAAAAATTGGATTGTTGTAGAGTTTTTGAGCATATTTAATGTTATGGCGATTTTATGTTTCTGAAATGGTATTACTAAATTAATGGAACATCTTACAACACTGACATAGAGAAGCTATTCATGTAATAAAACCACTCAAAGTCACATTGCTTATATTTTACATCTACTTCCACACTGTGTAACAAAATTTATAAAGGTCAATAAGAAAACCATTTAAAGGAGTAAAATAGCAACAATAAGACTACTACAAAAATAAGGCACTCATGCCAAAAAATACCACATGAATATTTCAGTAAACGTGAAAAAACTAAAAATTTCATTTGCTTTTCAAAGCTAATTAATAATTTGAAGAAATATCAAACAGGAACATAAAATTTCTAAAGCTTTTGGGTTATATGCATTCAGCAGCCCTTATCCAAAATGCCTGGGACCAGAATTGTTCCAGACTTGGGATGTTTTTAGGATTTGGAAATATTTTCACACAACTAATGAGTTACTTTAGGAATATTCCCAAATATAAACACAAAACTGATAGTGTTTCATATACACTTTTTTCATATACCCTGAAGGTAATATTATGTAACTTTTTTAGTGTGTCTATGACTTGACTCTACTCTGTCATGAGACTAGGTGCAGAATTTCCAGTTCTGGCATCTTGTCAGATTTCTGAGCATTGCTGGTTCCAGATTTTTGGATTAAAGATGTTTAACATTTATTCAATATTTCAAGGTCTTCTCACAGAGTAATAAACACCATATTAGTTTTTTTTTTCATTTAGCAGAGAAATACCCAGAGAATTTCCACAGAGAAATTTTAGCATTCTTCACTAAACTCATATTCAAAGAAACTGATCTTACAGAAAATCTTCCAATTTGTGTATTTCTGAGTATGCTGTAACTATTAAACCACTTCATTAATACGTAAGTCTCATTTCCAAATATCATACCTATACCTTACTTCTCAGCTAAAGTTTCACAGGAATAGTATATAAGAAAATGTATAAATATAACTGAGGTACTCAAGGCATTTAACATAAAGCTTTAACATAAAGATGTTTAAAACTCACCAGGATAAACATGATATACTAAGGGCAGTATAACAATATAAAGCTGGGAACTCAAAAATTGTATAAAGAAATTGTATAAAGAATTTTTTTTCCCTTAACTAGCCATTACTAGAAGCCAACAAATTGAGTATTTCTAAGGCATACTATCATGGAAAAAACACACTGAGACCAGGATGATATAAAAAAAGTTTGGATATTGCTATTTTCCTAAGATCAAATATTTTGAAGTTTCACCATAATACAAGGATCTAGTAGATGCAGATTTAGCCTACTCCCTAGCCATCGGGCACCACCTAGTGGCAAAATTCATAAAATAGATGAAGAACATAATTTTGTATCCTATTTATACCAGGTGACTACACAGAACACTGCAAAGCCCTCTGCCAAGTTTTGTAAAATTTTTACACACTTACTATTTCTTTAGTTTGAGCTGTTTTCCAGTATTTTATTTTTTGTGCTTTCAGTCATCAGAGACATCCAGTTCGTCTATTCTGACACACCTTGCGAGCACCCCTTTCTCCAGAACCTCTCCTGCCATAACTTTCTACATGAACGCCTGTGTGTCTGCCTTTGCTAAGTTCAGCTGGCTGCACAGCTAAAGACTCACTTTCCCACAGCCAGCAGATATTTTTCTGCACTTCCATTTCCATTTTTTTAATTTCACTTCCTACATGATCACTTTTCATTTCTTTGATACAAGTTCATGTTTGTGGGTGAGCTCTCTCAATTTGTTTTTACAAAATGGCATGGTGTTGTTACTGGCAAATGAAAAAGAAACACAACTACAATTATATCTTGCTTTATTCTGCTCCTTCCTAGTCCCGTAGAGCCACTTTTCTTATACTTTTAACACTGACTGGTTATCACCTAGTGAAATAAAAATAGCTCACTATATTGGGCACTTCTTAAATACCAGTCATCCCTGTCATGTACAACCCATTTAATTCCCACAAACATCTCACCAGGAAGCACTAGCACCATTCCCAATTGGAGATAAAGAAGTAATTTCCTTCAGGCCATGTAGTTACTAAAGGTTATTGGCGGGATTTATGGCTCAAAAACCTCAAGCTCTAAACACAGCTCAATACTGAGATGAAATGTATTCCTCAAATTTAACCAATAATTATCAAAAGCCTGGCTAGTTATTTATGTTTCCAAATTCTACTGACTCAAATAAACTATATCAACACTTGTAAGGCTTGGAGTAAAGCCAGAACACAAGCTCAACCAGAGCCTCCATATGCAAATAATACGGTACTTTGTATTGAGAACATTAAACGAATCATATTGCTATCTTATTCCCTTGCAACTGGAATGCAAGTAATTCTGTCAAAACCTCGTCCTTTTTTTTTTTAAAGAGGAAGTGTCACTTACTAAACTGGCACATTAGATATGAACTGGGACAGTGTGAGCAAACAAGCACAGTCACAACACACATGTAAATACACGTCTACACCAGGACTACATTACTCAGTAATGCAGGGACAAGAAAAAACAGCTCAATGAATCCAGGCATTTTATCAGTGAGAACCCACACGGTGACTCATCTTCCCTCCAGCCCATACAAACTGTGAACCCCTGGATGCTAGATGAGCAGCTATTCAACAGAAATCTCTAATGGATACAGCCTAGGAGCATCGATAAATGGTTTTCTGAGTTAGTGCTTGAAGCTTATAATTTTGTTTAATTTCAAAAGAAAGGATACTGCCTCTCATTTGCCTTTGTTTCCTACAGGAATGCATAATCTAAATCCTAATTTACATTTGTTTTCTCCTCCAAAGCAAAGCCATCACAAATCTTTCTTAATACTGTTAACTCTACATCCAAAATTTATGTGCAGTAAGATTTCAAAATATCTTTAGAGATGGAGCAGCATTAGTTCTTCCACAGCATGGGTCCACAGGCAGGAGAAGACAACTATACCAGGCTGATGATCAGCAAGTTTGGCCAGAGGGTTAAATTACCATGGCCCACAGGAAGTCTGGCTCTCCTGGTACCCAAGCTCATCCAAACAGGACACAGGTTCCGAATCAATCCACCAGTCACAATGCATGCCACACAAGTCTAAATTCTGACTCTCTGTCAACATTAACCAAAATCCATTCCTTCTGAAAGCCATGCAAGTATAACCACAAATCCTCCTGCAGCAACTCACCTGTCTTGGCTCCTTCCTGCTGTTATCACAAAATATCTTAAACTGGGTAATTTAAAAACACAAGAAATGTACCCCTAACAGATCTGAAGATTGGGAATTCCAAGATCAAGGCTCAAGCAGATTTACTGTCTAATGAGGGTCTGTTCCTTACAGATGGCATTGCACATGTCTTCACATGGCAGGAGAGAAAAGGGAGGAACTAAGTTCTCTCGGGTCTCTTCCAAAAAGGCACGAATCCCACTGAAGAGGGCCCTACCATATACCCTAAGCACATGCCCCCAGACCCAGCTTCTAATACCAACACATTAGAAATCCGACCTGAGCATTTGCATTGAGGAAGTACACAAACACTCAGACATCCTGCTGCTATGCTCAGCTACAGCCATCTCGTGATCAAAGCACAGGTGCTGCATGAATGGCCTATTCAAGACCAAATACAGAAATCTGGCCTCAGATTGTATCATCTGTTTAAACTGGCCCACACAAAAGAAAGCAAAAGTAATTACTATGCTCAAATTATTAACTAAAGACATATGCAGCTGTGTACAGCATTAATTGTCTAAAAACACAAAAGATTTCTCAATCATGCTACCACAGAAATTAAATTTCTAAGGATAACTGCACAATCCTCACACAATCTGCAATC